TCAAACAAAATCTTTAAACAGACGAATTAAGCATTATACGGAATAATGGATATTGGTATGGTGAGGTGAAGCCCACTCGCGGCCCATGGCGTCATTTCCCAGCTGGAAACTATACGTTCAAGGAAAATGCTGGTTCCGGAATTGTAATTTAAAAGGAACTGCGCCGGTCACTCGCCTGTCCGGATACGTCCAGCAATCCCGGGACATACCGTTATTTCGTTTTACCGTTTGGGATTTCTTCAAAAACAAAAACAGTAAACGCACCGTTGACCGTTTTTTCGTTTTACAGTTTTGTAAAACGGTCAAACGGTATTAAGTCACAAAAAACAATGACCTTTTTGTTGTTTTTCTTAATTGTTGAAAGCGATAAACGGTTGGTTACTTCATTTCAGAGTGTTTGTTTAAAAGAATGTAACAATGAAAAACGGTCAATAGTCCTGTCGACCATTTTTTGATTTAGGTTCGGCAATTAAGCAATGCACCTAGGAATGTTAATGCGTCCTCATGGGATCGAGTCATTGCCTGGGACCCAAATTACCCTCCTCACATTTTGTTCTCACGACATAGTTTTCGAACTGGCTATTGAAGAGCCGCGCCGAACTCCAATTTCCTTCAGATATCTGCAACTTCTTCAAACGTATTACCATCCTGTATCCATTGTAAAAAGTAATGTCCTCCCTTGAAGTTTTCCAGCGCCATTTTTGTTTGCAACCCTTAAGCCCCACCAACTGAATCGCGTGAGAAGGGGGTCAGGGTCACGCCAGGAATCACACCACGCATTATGCCGAGGTAACACTTTTTCATGTTTAGCATGGTCCCCCTCCATCCCCCTTGCCCAGCACCACAAAATGCACCAGGGACTGTTCACTATGACACTGAAATAAAAAAAAACAGTCTGTATTCAATACTGACCGTTTTGCTGTTTTTCAAAGTTATTTGTGTAAAACTGTAAAACAAAAATAGTTGATCGTTATGCTGTAATGAATTTTATTAAACTTATAAAACAGAGAAACCGTATTTATCTTAATACCGTTTGACCGTTTTACAAAACTGTAAAACGACAAAACGGTCAATGGTTTGTTTACTGTTTTTGTTTTTGAAGAAATCCAAAACGGTAAAACGAAATAACGGTATGTCCCGGGATTCCAGTAATCCCGGGACATACCGTTATTTCGTTTTACCGTTTTGGATTTCCTCAAAAACAAAAACAGTAAACGCACCGTTGACCCTTTTTTCGTTTTACAGTTTTGTAAAACGGTCAAACGGTATTAGGATTTAGGTCACAAAAAACAATGACCTTTTTGTTGTTTTTCTTAATTGTTGAAAGCGATAAACGGTTAGTTGCTTCGTTTCAGAGTGTTGTTTTAAAAGAACATGACAATGAAAAACGGTCAATAGTCCTGTCGACCATTTTTTGATTTAGGTTCGGCAATTAAGCAATGCACCTAGGAATGTTAATGCGTCCTCATGGGATCGAGTCATTGCCTGGGACCCAAATTACCCTCCTCACATTTCGTTCTCACGACATAGTTTTCGAACTGGCTATTGAAGAGCCGCGCCGAACTCCAATTTCCTTCAAATATCTGCAACTTCTTCAAACGTATTACCATCCTGTATCCATTGTAAAAAGTAATGTCCTCCTTTGAAGTTTTCCAGCGCCATTTTTGCTTGCAACTCTTAAACCCCACCAACTGAATCGCGTGAGAAGGGGGTCAGGGTCACGCCAGGAATCATCACACCACGCATTATGCCGAGGTAACACTTTTTCATGTAAAGCATGGTCCCCCTCCATCCCCCTTGCCCAGCACCAAAAAATGCACCACGGACTTTTCACTATGACACTGAAATAAAAAAAAAACCAGTCTGTATTCAATACTGACCGTTTTGCTGTTTTTCAAAGTTATTTGTGTAAAACTATAAAACAAAAATCATTGATCGTTATGCTGTAATGAATTTTATTAAACTTATAAAACAGAGAAACTGTATTTATCTTGATACCGTTTGACCGTTTTACAAAACTGTACAACGACAAAACGGTCAATGGTTTGTTTACTGTTTTTGTTTTGAGGAAATGCAAAACGGTAAAACGAAATAACGGTATATGTCCCGGGATTCCCCGCCCCGCACCCTTTTCCACCACTAGCGGATCTCGCCACCCCACTCAATGAAACTTCTTTCGCTACGCGCGCACGCGGTTGATCGTGGAGGAACATACCTTGTGGCGGAATAAGAGGGAAATGGGTAGGCATAGGCAAACTCTACTATTAAAATAGCAAAGAACACACTCATCGGAAAATAAATACTTGCGAAATAATGTGACCAATTCAACTCTAAATGACACTGTAAATAATTATGTTCAGTTTTCTTGTCCAACTTGTCTTTCATTTAAAAGTGTATTTGAACAGTGGAAACACCAACGGTTGCAGGAAATTTTAAAATGGCGACCATCTTGAAAAATTTTTTAAAATAAAAAGCCCCTCTTCCTCCTTTTTTTCAAAAACCCGAACGAGAAACATGTTTTTTTTTTATTGGCCTTATACATTGTATACAAGAAAGAAGAGTGCTTGACCGGCGTCTGTGGTCCTATCCCAGTATAGTCAATATTATTGATTGTCATAGCCTCACGGGGTCAATAATAAAACGTAACCTTGGACGGATTTGCTGTGACCCGATTGAAAAGCCATACATGGCAATTCCCAGTATGGGCGATAGGTTGATGACCAGACTTTTCAATAATTTATGCAGTTAAAGAAACTGAGGGTCCAAAACAAACTTAACTTTTAGTTTTATAACCAAACAAATATCGTGCATGGATACAGCATATTGCATTTCTCAATCTTATCGCATATTTTGATCTTGAAGAAAATGCTTGCCACACATGAAATTATTTTCAGTTTGCAAAGCAATATTGTCGTTATGGACGATGAACCATTGCACGCTGAATACTTTAATAAAAAAAAAGATCGTTTATAATATTTTCAGTTGGCTTTTCACTAATGACTATATATATTATTTACCGAGTTTTATAACATTCCTCGGGGTCACAAGTCACAAGTTTTTAGTTTCAATATAGCTACTCCTTACCATATGCCTTAACCCCTAAGAGTTTCATTTAATTTCAGTCACGCATCAAATTTATATACAATTGTCCATTGATCACATCAACATTTGTGGACACTGACCAATTTCCTTGCCTTAATCAATTTCAGTATTACGAAAGCTGTGTAAAATCCCGCACGTTGTGAAAATTAAAAAGCCGATGTGGTTTGGGATTGGAATCATTTTGCCCTTGAGCATTAAACTGAGGTTTTGCCATATGGTGACTGATAACCAGGACAATTATTATTTCAATCACAACCACAGCCCATTTCACAACATGAAGGACTCAACAGCTTACAATAATAGCGCTGAATTTAAGGCAAGGAACTATGTAATAAAATGTCCAAAAATGTTGTTGTGATCAATTGACAATTTGTGCAGTGCATCACTAAAATTAAATGAAACCAATAGGGCTTCAGGCCTGCCAATGATCAGGAGTGTCTGCACGACAAAAATAATCAAAATTGACTCTATGGTTTTGTAGTTATTTCAAAAAATAGTCAGACGAACACTTTTGGTGACATACTATACAGTACACACACTAGCTCTAGCGCGGGTAATTGACACCGTACACGGCAGGGAAAGCGGCCCACCGGTCACGGATGGCTAGGGGAGATTGTGCCTTTTTGTAGAGTATTTCTTCTTTTCCTGTACTTTTTGTGTGGAAACAACATCGGCCTTGGAGTTGCACGTCCATATAAATAAAACTGTGTTTGGCAAAGTTCCAAAGAGTTAGTTGGGCCTGCACTCGCTCAGCCAGAACGCAAATTGCGCCTAGGCTTTTTGATTATGTATGCGCAGCAGCATATAATTTTGACCATGTGACGTACACACAAGAGATCACGTGCATCATGTTTATTTATCAGCAGACGTGGGTGTGTTGTGGTTTGCGTGGATAATTGGTTGGTTGGTAGGTTGACTCCATTGTGATATGGGGGTGTTTAGATTTAGATTTTTCCCCCACGGCGCGGCCTATGTACGTGTATACGTATACCTTAAGTTAACCGGGCTAACCATCGGCGCGCTATTAATAAGACGAATATTGAATAACGTAAACAAATTCGAAACAAAAAATATATAAATTTACAAATAAATAAGGAAGCATACAGGGTTTCCATAAAATCATCTGCGTGGCTAGTAAAGTGATTCAGTTGAACACAATTTGTTTAATACTTGAAAGTGGAAACTGCCAAGGAAGGGTTGACAGTGTTTATACAGATATTTAAGGCTGCAGACAGCTCAGACACTGCACTGTCATGACTGTGTGTGTGAGTGTGTTTTAATATCAAATGGACATGTATGAATTAATGAATCATGATACTGTAATTATTTTCGATATACTGATGTTTAAAAACTTATTTTGACTTTTACAAGAAAAAAAATCACCCAGCGTGTAGATAATTTTGCACGGGGTCTGCTTAGAAGTCCGACGCCTCATAGGTCTGAGCCTCGGGCGTCGAACTTATGAGGCGTCGGACTTATGAGGCATACAATTGATTTATTCCGCCTCATAGGTCCGACGCTTCATAAGTCCGATGGCTCATAGCTCCGACGATTCATAAGTCCGAAACAGCGTTTGTCCATTGTCGGACTTATGAGGCGTCGGACTTATGAGGCGTCAGACCTATGAGGCGGAATTTATGCCTCATAAGTCCGACACCTCATAAGCCCTAAATTTCAGACTTCTGAGGCGTTTGACCTATGAGGCGTCGGACTTATGATACGGCCCCTTTTGCACGCTATGCACCTGTACTACGTTGTCTGCTGGATCTCTCAGTCTCTGTCCCTCAAACTTTTTGACACCCCTCCTGTGAAAATGACAAGGTTGGCGCAATGTATGTAACGGTTCCCTTGGCCCTGTACTGTGTGCTCGCGATCGCGCGCACACAGCAAACTGCATTCCCATTCATGAAAATTGGGCGCCGGATGACGTCACGCTATTACTACGAATTACACACACCAAGCTGCACACACGGAAACCGGCGAGCGTGTTGCTCTCGTCTTCCCAAAACATCCCAGAAAAGCTCCCCAGTCTTCCGTCCGCAATGGAGTATTCGACAACGTACAACCCCGACTCCGGCAACTTCTCGACAACGATAGATTTCCCTCCCGAGGACTCCACATCCTGGGGAAAATTTTCGCCCACGAAGAGTAAAAAACCCGTCTCCAGGACACTGGTGAGTGAAGATGTTTGCCCTTTCTCTTCCCACGAGGCCGGGTAGGCCATTTTTATACGCATTCCTTTGGCAAGCTTGAAGCCCGTGGTTCATTGATCTCACTTTTCATTGAAATTACACTTAAAAATGTATTCGAAATGGTTATTACATACACAGCAATTACCTCTAATGTAAAATACCATCAAAATAACATAAGGGAATGGTGTATTTTCAATGAATTATGTGTGCCCAACGACATGCAAGAGAGCGAGATTTGGCGCCAAATTCAAACGCGCCAAACCGAAACAAAACCACAACAAAAGTTGCATAGCTGGCGCGGCGGACTTGGCGAAAAGGTTTATTGTACTCCCAACATACGTGATCAGAAATATTTGAAAAAATAACGAAACAATCTTTGATCACAAGTATCTTTATCAATGGAGCATACTTTTATTTCAATATCTAGGGCAGTAAAAATCAGTGAAAAATAAGTCCAAAAATGGTTTGTTGTGTGTGTACATATCATGACCTATGTGGACATGATGATGAACAGGATGAATGAACGGTAATCAATTGGAGGACGTCTACCACAATTTTTCCCTCTTTTTACACGAATTCCTTCATGAAAAAGTCTTGAAAACAGGTTGTAGAAGGTTTTGGAAGCTTGTTTTCTCAGATTTTTGAATTTTTGAGTATTTTTAGGCTAGTTACACATGTTAGCCTACATTCTTCAATTTATGTTCTCAAAAATGTGTTTAGTGGTTTTGTACAGGAAGTCATAAACATTTTTTAGGCCTAATTAAAAACTTTGTCAGATTCTGCAAAGCAAAGAAGAAAAATTTTGAAAGTTTTCCGTACAAGGCCACAGTGTTGTAGTCGAGTACTTTTTGCCGAGTACCGAGTACTGCCGAGTACCGAAGTCCGAGTACGAGTACTTGTATTCCGAGTATGAGTACGAGTATTTGTATTTCCGAATACGGTGTCATATGAAAATCGGACTTGTATGAAAATCGGACTCTTTTCCCTTTTTGTTGGTTAGAGATCTCTCACGTTACCGGTCCCTCTCCTAATTAATTATCTATGCATGAGCATGCGTAGTACCACCAAGGAGTCCGTATTTCATAAAACCTAAATTCATGCTACACCGGCATCGGGTACATTGTGCTTGACGCCTAATAGCATGTGTAGTGTTAATCACTTGTGATACAAACTAGGGTTCGTCTTTGTAAGCCTTTTTTTTCAATTATTTGAAATTAATTTGTTTTTTTTTAATCAGCAACAGCAGTCTCAAATGTATTTACCAAGTAAATGCTACACAGCTGAGATACAGACAACCGTCATTTAATATGTCGGTGAAGGGCAAAACCCAATATTGAATTTACATCACCCCGACGCAAATTCCATCTTATGAATAGTAGGCCTATAATAAATTCAAATAATATTTTCAAATACCATGTAATCGGAGGCAGAAGTTTTTTTGGGGGGCCTTACTCAATTTCAGTGGTGGGGGGGGGGGGGGGGGGCACTGAGTATACAGTGTTTATTATGTCGGTGAAGGGCAAAACCCAATATTGAATTTACATGACCCGACCCAAATTCCATCTTATGAATAATATGAAATCTAGTATGCAGGGTGAGGATGACAACACGTCTGTATTGAAAATATAAATGAATCACCATGAAGAAATTATTCATATACGACTAGTAGAATAATCCTTGGCTAAAATTCAGACTTAATATCCTTTACATAAAATATTTCCATTTGCGACGATCAACACACCTTGGAAATTACTAGTTTTTGAGTAAAATTCATATATTTTGTGAAAACCTTGTGGAGACGTACATGTATTCACCTATAGAAAATACTCTGTGGAGATGTATACAATCCTTTGTTCCCTATTATGCACATGTCTCCACAAGGTACCGTGTACCAGATCAAAAAGAATACACAAACAAGATCAGGCCACAGATATATATGGAATGGCCTGTATATGCGTGAAGTGCAGTTTCAATCATCTGGAAACCATTTTAATTATAAGAATTGGAGTTAATTTAAACACTAATTGATTTTCTTTCCACCTGTTTAGCTGGATATGTAATCGCTATTTCGATATTTGATAACATAACATATGCTCGGCCTGCATATTTTAAGTTGTACAAAAGCTATTTTTTATTACATGTACGTGTATTTGTGAATTCTGTTTGAATATTTTCATACAGTACCGGTACATTTATGTCTGTCGTTACCTTGGGTTATAAAATTTCAAAATTTGCCCGTTAGGCCTAACAACTGTAAGGCGAAGTAAAAAAAAAAACGTTTAGCGTCCCCGCCCGCTTCCTTTTTAGAGGCCGCCTCCTTTTTTTTTTTTTTTTTTTTTTTTTTAAAGACAAAAATTGATAAATTTTAACGATCTCTGCGCAGAAGAGATGTTCGTTTCTGCATAGTTACATCATTTTGGTCTCATTTTCTGTTGCATCTTGCCCATAAGAAGCCAATATGTCATTTCCTAAGTCCAAGTGGCGGCCATTTTGAAAAAAGCTGGTAACCATCTTGAAAAATAGCCCGGCCGCGTTGTCTTGAAAAATGTGTCGGGCGGCCATTTTGAAAAGAAAAAAGAAAAAAAAAGGGCCTCCTCCTTCCTTTTTGTCAAAGAGGCAGGACGCTAAACATGTTTTTTTTTTTATTTTGCCTAACACTGTAATGTTTTCTACATTTTTGTCTACATACATTTTTGTACATTGTACTGGTACATACATGTACACTGTTCATACTGTACATTACATACTTTATGTATGTTTATACACATGTCTGGTCACATACGGTACACATATATTACTACAATCACATGAATTGGAGGACAACTTGACATTGAACTACCGGTAGATACACTTCTAAGAAAAAACATTGCATACTTTATACAACTATTCTAGACTTGTACTTGGGGTATTTTTTCCCTTGCAAAAGACAAGCTAGCATACGTGTACCGGTACATGTATGAATAACATGTTAAAAGTTATGTGTAAAAAACAATTTAAGTAAATACATGTATATTAATATAAAACCAACGGGCAACCCTACATGAGCTATTTATGTAGTACGATTGACCCAAAATGTTAGGGTCAGCTGGCTATTCCTCTTTCTTTTCTTTTCTTTTCTTTTGGTTCTAATACTCAGGGGTGTGAAATCTCAGCTTTAAAGCTGATTTTAGCTTTTTTTGATTTGGATTTCAACTTTTTTCCCTCACTTGCTGTGTACAAAAGTATATATAGGAGATTTCCAAAGTTCAGCTTTTTTACACCTTGTTTCAGCTGTTTTCAGCTATTTTTATCAGTGGTCGCTCACACCCCTGAATACTGCAAAGCAAGGAGTTTGTATGCAGTACAATGATTGAGAAATTGATCACTGCTCCATGCCAAACACAAATGTCACACACCTGTGTCTGGTATTAAACTGCGGATGTTGTACTAATGGTGAATATGACATTCAGTTAGTATACAACATAAAGCCTCTCTATTCTGCATCTGTGCTGGTCCCAGAGAGCCAGCCTACAGTCCTCTTTGTACTGTATACCACACTCTCAGTCCGTCCTGATTTGAAAATCACAGGCGTGTGGAAAAAGGCACACCTGGATTTTTGTAGGCATGTGGTTTTTCTAGACTGATTTTTCTAGCGTGTGATTTTGTGGTCCAAGCGGGGACTTAACAATCAGGTTTTATTAATCATATTCATCTTGTTTTACAGTTAAGTCATTTTCTCTTCACCAACGTACTTTTTTTCACAAATTATGTATACATACCGGTATTTAAGTTTAATTATGCCGTAAATCTATGGCGAGATGTGCAGTCCAGTACAGAGGGATTCAGGCATGTGATTATTAGCACTTCTCGGGAAGCTTTTAGGCGTGCGATGGCGTGGGGGTGTGATCGCACGCCTCGAATCAGAAGGACTGCAGTCTTGGTTCCAAGACGTCCCTTGCAGTGCGATGCTTCAGTGTGCATGGGTTACTGTGTGTGCACCGATTCACCAAAGTAGGCGCCCGGACACCAGTGTTGGGAGAAATCATAGATTTTAAAATCTGGTTGTTCTAATTTTGTTTCAAACCGAAGAATGTTTATCCGATTTCACCGGAAGTTCCTATTCAGCTCACAGTCATGCCCACAAAAAGTTACGAGTGAGATGCCGCATGGAATGCCGTACACGATGATAATATATTTACATGTATACTTGTAGTTTGCGGGTTTGAAAGACCACTGGGGCAAAATCAATATAAACATTTGCTTCCAATTACATGGCATTTGAAAAAAGGGTAGGCAGGGACTTTTCTTTTCTTTTTTTGGCAATTTTGTTTGTGTTCGATCATTTGGAGGTGTCTCTGTCAGTCCTTCTGTTTTGAGGTGTGCAATCACACCCCAACGCCATCACATGCCTATTAAATGCTTCCTGAGAAGTGCGAATAATCGCACGCCTGAATCCCTCAGTACCGCACACCTCGGCATACATTTACGGCATAATTATACTTCATAATTTTTGAAAAATAAAGTACGTCGGTGAAGAGAATATGGCTTTATTGTAAACCAAGATGAATATTTTGAAAAACAATACCAGATTGTTCAGTCCCAGCTTGGACCACAGAATCACACGCCTAGAAAAATCACACGCCTAGAAAAATCACACACCTAGAAAAATCACACGCCTAGAAAAATCACATGCCTAGAAAATCACACGCCTAGAAAAATCACACGCCTAGAAAAATCACACGCCTAGAAAAATCACACGCCTAGAAAAATCACACGCCTAGAAAAATCACACGCCTAGAAAAATCACACGCCTAGAAAAATCACACGCCTAGAAAAATCACACGCCTAGAAAAATCCAGGTGTGTGTTTTCCACACACCTGTGATTTTCCAATCAGAAGGACTGCTGCGTGTAGTCAAGGGTAAAACGTAGTAATTGATGATTTTCAGGGTTTTCTCCTCATTTTTCCCAAAAGAAATAAGGGTAGGGCTGTCAAAATAGGGT